CCTTCTTATTTCCTTCCCATACTTCTCCGGCGTACTCTAGCGGCGGTACGATTACGCTCTTCAAAACCGTCAATTTGATGCGTGTATCGAGGTGCCGGTTTGCGAGTATTGGATGCAGCTTCCCTGCTCGCTCACGCACGCTGGAGGGGGGGGGGCGATACCACCAAAGGCTGTTGCAACAGGGCTGGGGGTGTCGACGCTGACGGTGCCACCGCAGGCCCGACCGGTACTGTCGCCGACCTCGCGGCTGATGACGATGATCCTGGCGTGGTCCTGGCAGCGGTTTCGGCACGAACATCGCGCCCCACAGGAGCTCCCGAAAAGCGCGAAGCGTGGTCTTGCATCGGTGTCGGATGTGTTGGTGGGGAAGAAGATGGGCAGGTGGTGGCACGCTAGGAGCGTGGGGGGCCACAGGAGGNAAAAGGCAAGGAAGATGTGGGATGATCCAAAACGGCATGGGCAGGGGCATGGCTTTTCACAGCGGCTGAATGTTCTCGAAGTTGCATGTTGGCAAGTTTGAAAGCCAAAGAAGACCTGGTCAGTTGGCCTACATCAGCGGGAGGGCGTAGAACAAGCGGTAAAGAACAGAGAGAACCGTCTTCTGAAGCATCCTTGCTTTCCCCCAACAACCCAGAGCTACGAAAATCACCTCGATCATACATCACTTGCCTGTTACCGTGGCCTGACCTCCGTCGCCCTTTTCCGCCGCGACTGCTGTCAGTGCTGGTCGCCCTGCTGTTGCCCCCGCTCTGGTTCTGGCTCCGGCTGCGGCTACGCCAAGACGGAGGCGTGTTTCTCCCACGACGGTCTCCGCTCCGGCTGCGCCCACGCCTAGACGAAGGATTGATGCGCTGTTGACGTTCTGCGCTCCGACTCCTGCTCCGGCGATGGCGACTCGCCGGCGAAGACCTGGTAGGCTGGTTCCCCACGGTTCGCCCTCGCCTGTTATCTCCGACGCCGCGCCCTCGTGAAGACTGGGTGGAGCGGCGGTGGTCGTCCGTCCCGCTCTTGGCCGTCGANATGCGCTCTTGACGTTCTGCGCTCCGACTCCTGCTCCGGCGATGGCGACTCGCCGGCGAAGACCTGGTAGGCTGGTTCCCCACGGTTCACCCTCGCCTGTTATCTCCGACGCCGCGCCCTCGTGAAGACTGGGTGGAGCGGCGGTGGTCGTCCGTCCCGCTCTTGGCCGTCGAATCCCGGTCGCCCCAACGGTCCTTCCAGCTCTTGGACACAGGAGCCGCCGACCAACAGTAGTCCTTGTCCTCTCCAGAACCATGCGCAGGGCGTGAAATGACCTGCCGGGGGGCTTGGAGATCGTGCTTGAAGTCGTTGTTCGAGGCAGCACGAGCAAGAGGCAGCTGGAGTCCTCCATCTTGGGTCACCACCGACGTTCCTTTGGCCTTTATGAAAGGTGGCACGACGGAGAGCGAACAAAAGCTGGAACACGGACGGTCGCGAAGAAGGCGGAAGTTTCGCGATGTATGGGGTGTGATAGATGTGCCCGAAAGNTGGCCTTTATGAAAGGTGGCACGACGGAGAGCGAACAAAAGCTGGAACACGGACGGTCGCGAAGAAGGCGGAAGTTTCGCGATGTATGGGGTGTGATAGATGTGCCCGAAAGCAACGGTGTACGGTGGGGGGAATTGTGCACGGACAAGTTGTTTGATGCCAGCCCATGCAAAAAGAACTGCCAATTTGTCCTCATCGTCGAACAAAGACATCTTCTGCAGGCATCTCCAGCGGGCGGGACAGGAACGCTGTATCTCCAACGTGGAATTCGTACACCGTGGTTGCCGCCGCAAAAGATGCTCCGTCTTACGCACCGGCCGGAAGACCCAAAGCCACCGAAAACTCCGGAGTCGCTATCCTCTCCCGTTCCTTCTCGTTCGTCGGAGAGGCCGCCACCTCCCGCTCCTTCTCGTGCGGCAAGGTGGTACGATGGGAACCAAGGGGCACCTGGGATTGCGTGGGGGGAGGGGACGATAACACGGCGAGGGGGGTGGGGGGCTGCTCGCGGGTCCTGGTGGCGCGGCTCCAGCTCCTTCAGCCGCGATCGGAGCGCCCCCTGCTTCGCCGTAGCCGCTTGGAGATTCGCCTCACGCTCCGCCAGAACAGTCGCACGCTCCTCCTCCTGCTTCCTCGCCGCAGCAGCCAGAGCAGCCTCACGTTTCTCCTCCTGCTTGCTCGCCGCAGCAGCCCGAACAGCCTCACGCTCCTCCTCCTGCTTCCTCGCCGCAGCAGCCAGAGCAGCCTCACGCTCCGCCAAGCGCTCCGCGTCCTCGCGCTTCGCCTGCTCTCGCGCGTCCGCCTCTGCTATATTCCCGGCAAGACCATCGCACCACATCTCGTTCAACCTTTGGTACGCCATAAACTCGTCGTGGGGCAAGAGGATTAATTTGTCGTCCGGCGGGAGCGAGAAAGGAGGAACGAAAAAGGGGGAATCGGACGACAGATGGGCCGCTTCTACAATATCCTCCAGCGAGACACGTCCGGTGTTGTAGGCCCGCTCCAGTTCCGCCGGATCTGCTGTGGCGATGTTGTCCAGCAAATCATCGACGGTGAACACCATGGACATGGGGGGGCTCTCGTCTTCTGCACCCGCCGCTGGAAACTGCTCTGCGGTGGGAGCCTCGCCCTCGGGTTCGTAATCCAGGATTTCCACATTGTCGCCGAGGAGTTCCACATTGCCGCTGGACATGGTGTCCTCATTGTTAACAATAACAGGGCCAGAGAGAGGGTAGCTACGATCGAATGGGGAAAGGGCAGCAGGGCCAGAAACAGCAGATGTAGGATAACCAACCGCAGAGGCAGCAGCACCAAGAGCAGCAGAAGCAGTAAAGTCGGGTGCAACTTCGGGAAAAGCAAGCCGAGGTCCATGCGAAAGGCGGAGATATCCACAGGATAGCATACGGCCAGTGATATAAGCTTGGTGCACACAAGGTTGACTTGGATCCAACCAAGCAGAAAAAGCGTCCAAAAGCACACCATGCCAACCACAAACAGCATTAGAAGCTAGCACAAAAGGGCCCGTGTTACATGGAGACACGAGGTTTTCCGACCAAAAGACACGCAGAGCAGCACGGCGTTCCTCCGCAACTGGTGCCGAAGTGCGAGCAAAGACCGCT